AAACACCCACACACAAAAAAAAGTGTGTCTATGTAAATAGAAATAAATATATATATATATATATATATATATATATATATATATATATATATATATATTAAATATCATAAAGTATGTATTTTCAGTGTCAGTGTTCAAAAGTGAAACTTGGAAACTAAACATTTTTATTACTGCAAAAACCACTAAAAAACCGCATTTTTAAAACAGTAATTATAGCCTACGCAATCATGATGAAGGTTGCTGACTTGAATGTTTTCCAGTAGACAATCACAGAGATTTGTTTCAAGGTCAATAAGCCACAAAAGGATATTTTTAGTGGCTAATTATCAAGCACTTTTTCTTTGTTTAGCCCTTTTGCTAATATTGAAAATGTTTAGCACAGTTAGCTTCCCCTAAATTAGATTTCCCAGATATATTCTAATGCACTGATTTACTTAGCAGTTTGTGAACTTTTAACTGAATAAAGTTCAACATTTGTGTTTTTTCAACTGTTAAGATTTCTTCAACTAGTTAAATGTTTATATTCATGCCCTTATTTTGAAGTGGGTGAAGACTGTTTACACAGCAGTTCCAAATCCTCCCATCGTGTTCTCGCTCTTTTTTTCTCAAAATGAGAAACATACAGGAAAAAAATAAAACATGGACAGTAGAGATCAAGGCATAAATGTAAACTAAGACTAACATTTCAGTTAGTCTTAGATGTTGCTAAAGACGTTGACTGGTTATAGTTTCCTGTACCCAGGCATGTAAATGGAAAACTGAGTGAAAGGAAGAAAAGGAAGTGTGGAAGAAAAGAGGACAACGACACCCATATTGTGATGATGGGTTGTGGCTGGTCTAGCTGTACATTTGTTTGGTTAGGAAGCTAAATTTCAGATTTAAATGTGAAATAATTTGCTCATTTATGTTGTTTGGTTTTGAACAATCAGCACACTGTGGTTTTACAGAGCTTTAGCTGAAACAAGCTGACTAGCTCCAAGTCAGTTTATAGATCTGGCTTAGCTCTACAAACCTTTCAGCCCTGATCTGTGGGTTCTTCACCAGCTGGAGCTCCTTATTCCTTTCTTATTTTCTTAAAAATCACCCCAGACTTTAAAACCTAAGAAATGAGAGACCAGTATTTTCACACAGAAGAACCGATTCTAACATAATTTGCATCTCTGTGAACGCAGAGAAACTGAACAAGTCTCGCCATGCCTCTGCACTATCAGGAGATCACAGCTGAAAAACAAACAGCCTCCTGACTTCACGATAAACAGGCATCTGTGAGGAGTTTAGCAGTTTGCCAAGGCTCCAGGAAACCCAACACAGAGATTTATCTTTCACTCAATTACTAATTAGCTTCTGGGAATAAAGAGGATTCTTCAGGAAGAGCTTCCTTTAACTCTAATGCACTTGAAAATAAACTGTAAAATGATAATAAATATAGGGATAAAGATACATATATGGGATTCCAGAATGAGGTTTTGCATTAATTGATCCATTAATGCTGCAGCTTAGCAGACCATGCCCTCCGATACGCATTCAGACTCAGACGGTCTTTGTCTTGCCAAGTTGCCTAAATCCTGACATTGTAATTCTCCAATTAACCCCCTGCTGTTCTATTCTCTGCTGTCCACCCATCCCCACCGCTTTTCCATCTTCCACTATCTCCACCTCCTCATCCGTTTAAACAACTGATTTATGTTTTCCATCATCCTCTCCTTTCCTGCAGTTCGCATCAAGCCGGGTTCGACGTCTCCAGTGGAGTATCAGAGTGACAGCGACGCAGAGAGTGGTACAGAGTCCGGATCGGCCTCCCTCAGCGCCCAGAGCATCGACGCAGGGTGAGTGCATCCGTCCGTCTGTCTGTCCGTCCATCCATCCATGCAGCCAGCCAGCATCAGACATAGCAATCAAAACAACAGCTCTCTTTCTACTCCCACTTATCCTGTTAAAAGTTAAAGTTCATTACCGTTAATAGAAGACGGTACAACTCTGTTTTTTATGTTGTTTGAAAAGATTTGCAAAATTGCATTTAAGTGAAACATGAGACTTATGGAACAGTGTCCAGTTCCATTTCTGCTACATCAGACCGTAGCAGAAATGTCTGATCATAATGTTCAGCTCCTTGTTTGAAGAAACTCACACAAAGCACATCAGCAGAAACATGTCGTTCTGTTAAGCATGTTGGTGGAGGGGTCATGCTATGGGCCTGCCATAAGCTCTTCTGTTGATCATCATATACTGAGAAAAATGTCAGATCATCCCACTTGACGGCTGTGTTTAACCAAAAAACAACAAAAACACAAGTCCAGGTCTATCAATTAGCATATGTTTGCAGCCACTGGAGTCGCCCCCTGCTGGTTATCTTTGCACTTAACATATTCACAATGCCTTTCCGTAACGTTAATGAGAAGTGGAAGTTTTCACAATACTGGCTTTTTGCAAGTCAATTTCAAAATGATCTTTAAGCCCATTTTATTTTTTGCTTTCGTCTTGATTTTCAAGATAACTTCTTTAACAAACTTGATTGATTCTCTCTGCTGAAATAAACAACAAATGGTCAAAAGTTTTTCTACACACCTTGACCAACTAATGTTTTTTTTTTTTTTTTTTTTCAATTATCAGCGAGGAAGATAACCATTAAAACATGATTAACTGTGGAAGGTGCAGTATTTCTTTGTAAGTCGCTGAAGCTGTTGATATGCCATTAATGCGACGTCAGCTGACTCTAGAAGCCATACTACAAGTCAGCAGGGTCAGAAAGAGAGTGCAATGTGCAGCAGGGTTTATGAGAAATTCGGTCTTTGCGTGGGTCACCTCCTTCGCCTGCAGGCTCCTGACTAATTACATTACTGCAGTGAAGCCATGACTGGATGCTTATATAACCTTATATAACCCACCGTACAGCTGAACACACTGGAGACGCCCAGGCTGCAACACAGGAAGACAAAGTGTGCAGAGAGACTGGAGGTGCAGTCTGCATGCTTCATAAAAAGAAGTCTGAGATGTTGCAGAAACACTTCTCTCTCTCTCTCTCTGTGTGTATGTGTGTTAGTGTCCAGTGGGTTCATTAGAAGATCAGCAGAGTTTCTGCCACACCCGCATGGGCGCGGCGCTGTTACTTAACTGTATTTCCAGGGTGTGGAAGCTGATGGTTTGTTCAGTTCTGTAATCTACATGTGTGTGCATGACTGCCTTGTAAAAACTCTGCACATTAGTGGGGTATTTTATATTTATAATGAAGATTATTTGGACAGTTGTGCATTTGTGTGTCTGTGTGAGAGGAAAAAAAAGGGATTGCTTGTGTGACTGTGTGTTGCTGGGCAGGGCTGTCCCAGAACCGGGGTGTAAACAATGGTTACGTAATGCAGTTTGCCGTCACACCTCTTTGTAAGATGGACTTGGAGATCAGTGATTTTTTTTTTTTTTTGTTCCTCTATACCATTCATTAACCCCCCTCCCTCCCCACTCCCAAAAATAGATACTTCAGCAGAAAAGAGAAAAGTAGCAGAGTGAAACTAAGAAGACAGTAAAACATTTGAGGAAGACAGAAAGGAAAAAATGGAATGATTTGAATACATGACAAAGAGAGAAAGGTTCATGGTAAAATACAGTAGGTTGTCTTGAGAAGCTGTTGGAGAGTGTATGTGTGACGCCACCTGCTGGGCAGAGATGAAACTACAACATTATTTTATTGATATTCACAGAACTGATGCCTGCTTGTATTTTAGAAAAACAACAAAAATATTTTCAGGACTTTACTCTTAACTAGAAAAATCTCCATTTTTGGGGAAAACTCAAAGGGAATTCTCTAAGCCAAACTGATGAGCTCAACTAAAGAAAGAACTTGTTAGAAAACAAAACTGCCATAAATATTCAAAGAAAAACCTTCATAGAGATGTAGAAATATACTGAACAATCAAAGCTTGAGCTAAAGCTAAAAATTGTTGAAGAAGTTGATGTCTGAACCTGGTCAGCTGAACATGAGAGCTGATGGCTGAAAAACTGAATGAAGTCAAAGTGAAATCCATTGATAGTCAACAGGTAGTACTTTGACTGTTCTTAGGCCCCTTGTGCTCACAGGCCTGTAACAGTTAATACATTCATTACTTTCATGCACTTATGCCTAAATGTTCCTTAGTCTACCTGAGTTTTTCCTGATCTACATTGATTAGTTGTCAAACTATACAACTTAACTCAGACTGGCTTCCTAAGCTTAACTTCAGATAATATGAATTACAACAACACATAATTTCATTTTTGGACTATTAGAATATTTTTGAGTTGAACTGAATGCCTGTTAGCTAACTGTTTACCATGCTAACAGCAGCTTATTTATTATAACTAGCTGAAATGCTAAAATAAGCAGATCTATTGTGGTTGGTAACATTTAGTTAAGTTCAAATCAGTTCACGTGCTTCCATTAACTAACACACTAACATTAACATGTTAGCTTATGTCAACCAAATCTGTTATGCTAACAGCAGTTTATGTGCTATCATTATCTAAAAGGACCATTACTTACACAATTAGCAGAAGAAGTTCTTGTTTAATGATGCTCCAGCTCATGTTATATTTTCACAGGCAAAGCTGAAGCAGTAGTTTCTTCTAAAACCACTACTGAAACTAGTTTTAATTTTGGAAGCTCCTATCACTGAAAAACTTTACTGTTTCAGAAATAGCATTGCAATTGTAACTGAGATAAACACAACCGACAACTTTATATATAAAATACAGTGGTGTTTGCACATAAATATAGACGTTAGCATAAACAAACACAATCTTCCCTGTTCTGTTGTACCACCTGGTCCTGATGTGCTGGTACTCCAACATTCTTCCAGTGAATAAGCTACATGTTTAATCTGATAAGACTCTCACAAAGGAAATGCTGAGCCAAGGATATCCTGGTCATTTTCCAGTGAAAGACAGATGAAGGTTGGAAATGGGCTGAAATTGATTTTCCCTTTCATTTGTGGGTCTAAATTCCAATACAATAATAATATATCCTTCATCCCATACACTTTCTGGCACTATCAAAGTCAACCAGTCACAGACAGTTTTGATTAGCTTTCTTCTGAAGAGAATCAATAAGTGTGGTGGTATTGTTAAGGTAGAAGACTGGGTTTACTTCCACCTGACTTCCATAAATCCAGGACTGCTCTTATTCACTGATGTGATTTTTTTCTTTTAAAAAGAGGTTACACAAACTGACATGAAATAAAGAAATGGTATTGTATTTTCAGTGTCCAGCACCACTAACTCCTACTTGCATCTTTCTGTCCCAGGTCAGTTATAGACTTGGAACCTGTTGACCCCGATACACTAGACCTAAAGAGGCGGCGGATCCACATGTGTGACTATGAAGGCTGTAAAAAAGTTTATACCAAGAGCTCTCACCTCAAAGCCCACAGGAGGATACACACAGGTAAAAGGAAAGCGACCAGCTCACGTCACCAAAAACATCTAAAAACAACATTTTTGCCTTTGACAATAATGGCATTTTGTTTGGCTGAAATCTGAATTTTTATTTTTTATTTTTTTGCATGCTCATTCTCACTAATAATTAAATGCGACCACAATCAGACTTCTTTGTGAACGGCTTAAAGCAAGTGAGTGACTGAAAAAGGGCTACTTTGACTGGGTTTATCTGAAAAAAAAAATAATAATAATAATATAATGCAAAACTATTAAATATTTTCATACCTTACATAGTAACTCAAGAAATGTTGAAATACTACTAGCAATGCAAAAAATAAACATATTTGTATGCTTAACCATATATTCCACAAAATTGCTGTGGGTTTTTTTATTTGTTGGTAGTGATTTATTTTTTTCCATCCAACAAATACACTTATTAGACAAAAAAAAAAACAACTGTCTGTGATTGCCTTTAAGTTGAGAACACAGTTGTGTGCACGTTAAAAAACGTACTTTGCATGTGAAAGGCTAAAAATGTTGCATGTCTTTTGGCCCTCCTGGATTTTCATACATGAGGAGCAAGGAAGCCAGGGTTTATCAGAGTTGTGATTTAAACGCACACACCATTAATTATTGTTAGATATATGTGCTTAAATCAGTCTCACTGCACATCCAGAGTCGGTTTTTGAGCAAAACTGGAGGAAAGGTGAAAGTGCTAAGACATCAACATTCCCCTTGGGTGTGAGGTCCATGTATGAACTATGTACAGTTTAGATGCTTAAAGCTCCTGCTTATGTACCAATGATTTGTTTATTTCTAGGAGAGAAGCCGTACCACTGTACTTGGGAGGGCTGCACCTGGCGCTTCGCCCGCTCCGACGAGCTCACCCGACACTTCCGCAAGCACACAGGAATCAAACCTTTCCGCTGCACGGAATGCGACCGCTCTTTCTCCCGGTCTGACCATTTGTCCCTTCACCGCCGCCGCCACGTGATGATGTGAACTCCCCTCCAAAACCAGCCCGTCGAACCGACCTCCGACCCTCTCGGGCTCCCAGAGTCCACCCGCGCAGACAAGAGCCTCCACGATGTTCCACGTTTTGCGTCCAGGATTTCTAAACACAATCTGCAAAGGGGGAACAAGAACACTTCCTCCTTCTCTCCACGTTGAAATTACAGGACAACTGGGAGTGTGTCTGTGCATACGTGTTTATGCATGGTGGATTTATTAATTATCTTCATTGTGCGCCCCAGTTCAGTCCTATCTCAAAATCCTGAACTCAGTTTTTCAATAGCAATGGAATAAGAAGATGGGACTGAAACTCACTCATTCATCCCTCCATCCCTCCATCCATCCATCCATCAGTCCATCCAAGGGAGAGGAGGAAGAGTAGGGGATACAAAGAGGTTGTTCAGTGTTTTTTAAAAACCTAATGTAACTTGGATGTCACTTCAGTTGCTGTTTTCTTTTTTCTTTTTTATTCTGAATTCAGTGTAAGTCTGGAGTTGGTGAAAAGTTGTTCAGTCGCTCCTCAAAGAGTCCAGGAACCTTTTTAGGAATGATGACTTTGTGTTTAAGCCCTGTGCTGTCACATGAGATTTAGCTGTGTGATCAAACAACAATTCACAATGAAGAACGCCATCTAACATCCTAGTAAATTTATTACTGACGTGTTGCAGAGCAAGAATGGTTTGAGTTGAATCCTTTCTGTTCAATACAAATAAGCAACATAAATGCTGGAAAATTAGGGATACCAGTGACTTTTTGCTGGTGCATCTCAATAAATTACACCAACAAAAAATTACAACTATTTATTGCAGTTGTAATTTTAAAAGGAAGATTCCTGTACTGCATTGAAAATTTCACTAAGAATAACATAATTCTAGCTTTTTTTTTTTTTGATGATTAGCAGCATTACGACTATTACATCAGACCAATAAAAAATGATTTAAATAGAGAAATGTGGGCGTATTGAAAAGTGTGCATTTGGTTGGTCAGGAGTCGTTTTGCATGAATTACTGCATCAATGCAGCGTGGCACGGAGGTGATCAGCCTGCGACTAGAAGGTGGTTTATAAATGACCTTTAGCTCGCCTTCGTTGGTGGATCTGGTTTCTCTCAACTTTTAAGTCACATCATAGTAAATGTTTACTCAAGATTTTTAATGAATGAAGGAAATTTAACTGACCTCCTGGGGTTCCTTGCAAACACAGCCTCCAATATTTATGGATTAAGTACTTCGCCGACTCCATGTTGCGAACCCACCTGCAGCAGCTGAAGTGACGTCTCCGGTGTCCTGGTCCTCAAACCAACCCACCTTCCTGGCTCTCCTTGGTACATGGAGCTGCAAGACTGTGAACTTTTTAAAGACTGATTTGTTTTTTTTCAGTGCATCAGTCACGTTGTTTATGTTCTCCCTCCACCTCTCCCTCGGGCGTGCACACACCTTTCCAATCCTTCTTTGGCAACAGTATTTGCTTTGTATGAGTTCTTATTGGTGTTTTACAAAAAAAGAAAAGAAAGAAAGCTAGGCCTTCGGTGAACAGTTTTCTATTCCCTCCAGGTCTGCCAATCTGAACAGTAACAACAACAAAAAAATAAATAAGTCGGATCCTTTTTGTTGATTTTCTGAGGCTGTGAAAAAGATGGAGCAACACAAGTTGTTTAAGAAGACAAACTCTTCATGCAGGGAAACATAATAGGGGGGACTTTTCAGATTGTTTGTTAGTTGCCTGCGTTTGTGTGATTGTGGATGAGTTTTGAGATAAAAAAAAAAAAAAAACTAGAAATAATCAGAAATGAACATTTTTACGAGTGTTTATTGCGGGCATTTGTCAACGTTCTTTTACCTCTTGCCCGTTGAGCCTTAATAACTGAAGTCAATCTGTAAGGGCGAAACCAGAACCACTGAGACGAAGTTTGCAGTCCAAACCGTGACGTAATAAATCTAATGAATCATAAATCCAGCAGCTTTTGGAGGTTTTATTAACGCCTAGTCCACACGTAGCCGGATGTCATCCACACGTAAACTCAGTTTAATATCATTAAAAACGATTTGTGTTTCATTGACCCTGTATTCTAGCATGGTTACTAAAAGTAGCTCAACCTTTGTTTTCTTTTTATTTTCCCAAAAAATATTCTTTATTCCAAACAAATACATTACATAGAAAGATTTTCAACACAATAAGTAACATCAGATTAAACAAAAAAAAAAATAGAAGAATGATGACATATAAATAATATAAATTAACCGCAATTATTGGTAATATTGGTGTTAATGTCTTGAAATCTACAATGTAAAATAAATTAAGCAAAAAAAAAAAAAATCCTCAATAAATATATACATAAATGAGTAAAATAATACTTTTTTCTTAAATGTCCAAAAAAAAAAAAATCAATTGCATATAATAAAGGGTCTCTTACAATGAAAATAAAAACAAAGAATATATAAAAAAGGGGTCTGCTTATAAGATAAAGTTAAATTTATTTTTCACTTATTAATTCTTAAAGCAGCTCAACCACTGTCCACACAAATCCTAGTGCCATGATTTATTCCTTACAGGAAGTTGAGGTTGTTTTGAAGGATGTAATTGGCTGACATAGATTTCAGCTTTGCCCAACACTGCCCCCTATGGGTTGGCATGTTTAAAACGATGGTGAGTGGTGTAATTCAGCAGGTTCATGTTGATGAAGACCTTTCTTAAACGGATCCCTTTCTTAAACGGATTGCTGTACAATGTTATTTTTTCAAATGATGTGGCAGAGATATTTGTTTTCGTAAAGACCCGGCTACGTGTGTTGAAGACCTTGAAGACGGGGGAGAAAATATGAGAATCTCCACTTAATTAGTTTAAAAATTAATTATGTGAATTTGTTGCACCAGAAATTGCTCCATTTTGCGACTCATGTTCATCTTTGTTGAAACATCCAGTGGCGTACGTCAGGTTTTGACTGTAGGTCGTCTGTCAGAGGTCCTGAATGAAATTACAGGCACTGTGCCGGGCTGTCAGGGTCCATCACGCCTTTGGGTTCAGACCATGGGGAAACTAAAGTGCTCTCCTCACTAGCATTTCTACCCCAAAAGGGGTCAATCCTCTCAGTAACTATACAGTACGCTCCACAAAATACTGAGCAAATCTGGATTTAATGTTTATTTTTGTTTGTTTGTTTTTGTTTTTTAGTGCTGCTCAGCACATAAATCAAACTGTTGGTGTTTCGGAGCAGAACTGATCCTGTGTACATGTCTTAAACAGGCTGGTTTCCAACCCCTGACCTGGGCTGAACTTGATTATGCAACAAAACGCAGACCTCGCTCCATGCGCTGTTCTGTTCAACTCAGTAAGTAGAGCACTAGCTTGGTAGTTTGAACTCACAAGAACCTTAAAAATGGGGGAACGTCAGGATAGAAGCCCGTGTTGTTGAGCAAAGCCAACAGATTATAAGTTTTTATGGAGGCTTTGTTGGCAATTGAAAGAACCTCTTTTATAGTTCTGGTCTGTTCATGTGCAAAAAAAAAAAAAAAAAGATATTCTGTTTATAGACCATACAGATTTTTGTCATCATTTAAAAAAATTAGAATGTGAGAACTCAATGTTAGTGAATGAAATGGACATGCAGGTTTCCTGTGAGCTGAGTGCATGCTGCGACGAGGGCAGATTGTTGCTTGATCTGCAAACTGCAAAAGAAGATCAATCCAAATACAGTCACTGGATCTGATTCAGGATTTTAACACGTTTTGCTGTAAATCAGTGGAAGCTAGTTAAAAGAAATAGGAAAAATTGGTAACTCTTCACATAAAAACGAATGTTTAAAATCCTAACTCAGTTCAGTCACTTGTTTGGAGGGACATTTTTCTTTTTACTTGAGCAGACCAACACAATAGTCCCAGTTTTCTTATTATCCCCCCTTGCTTCAAGTAAAAAAAAAAGAAAAAGTTACTAAGCACATCTTTTTAGAAGAGTTTATGCATTTGATTGCAATTTTCTTTCTTTTGTAAACTGTTGATAAGACATTAAGGACAAATAATTAAAAGAAATCCATGTACATAACTGTATATAATCAGAAAGTGCAGAGTAAATGTAACGGGTGAATTTCTATTTTTAACACTGACTAGATAATGTGAAAAAAAAAGTTTTGCTTTTTCTTCCTTTGTTGGTTTGATGAAAATGTGTTTCATCATGTGTGTTGTCCCCCTAAAATCTAATACATTTGTTTCGTAGTTACTTAAAAAGTGGTCCCACTTGTGTTGTGAACACTTGTGTTGCATGGAGAATAGCTTTGTTTTTTCTTATAGTGACGTTGGTGAGCATGTAAGTGCGTGTGAGACAGTTTGGGCGGGGTGAGAATTTTTATTAAAAAAAACAAACAGGGTTTTTATTTTTAAATAGTAAGAGAGCTTAATATTTTATCACTGGACCTGATTTGAATTCTGTCACACAAAAAGCACTCAAATGTTGTTGGTAAGGTTAGCTAAGAGTCAGGTGTGGTCAACAGAAACAGACTTATGGGGTTAAATCAGAAGCTAGCTTCACATTTTTTATTTCTGTAGAAAGTTTGAAAAGTTCCCAAATAGTACACAAAAGATTCTAACATACTAATATATTCTATTTTATACAAATAAAATACATTACCACAAAATGATTTCAGGCATACAAGTAAAATGATCTTTAACTTAGATGCTACATAAACTTAGCTCACTAGCGTTTAAGGAAGGTTGAAGTAACAATTGTGAACTACTTCTCTTTACAACATGGTTTTTTCAGTATAGTTTTAGATATTAATGTCACCATAAAACTCAAACAAAAGACAAAATGCTTACGACAAATGTTGAGGCAAATGGAGCAATACTATCTTGTGATGCTTTTAACATTTCAGCTTTTAATTTTAAATTTTTTTACATTTTATTTTTCTTTTAACTTAAAAATAACATTAATTAGATAGTTTCATCTGGAAACGTTGAAGAGATTACAAGTCTTATTCTACTAACTCTAAATGGGTAGCTAATTCACTCAAATGCAACACTAGCTGGTAATATCCAAGGTGGACCAGAAAAAAAATTCAAATTTTCTTGCTTAATAGGTGTTTTTCAAACTTCATGTAGCTGTTGATCCCATTGCTGAAATGCATAAAGAATGAAAGGTCAAACTAAAGAAGCTACATCTTGAAGAAACAGATTCACAAAGGCACAAAAGCTGGCATTTCCAGTACTTTACCAATTCATTAATAAAATTAAAAATTCTGTATTTTTTTTAAAGCTAAACTATACAAATCCTCTAAAATTATAAATTATGTTTTAAGTCAGAGAGCTACAATCCCCGACCAATAAATCTACCTACAAGCTAGTTTACACAGATGCTATCTAACTTTAATGTACTAGATGCTAGCATTTATGGTGGAGTA